TTTGTCGTCTCTTCCACCAGAATCTGACAGCGTTGATTGTGCTGGGCCCGTGGGCGGTGGCGTGCCACTGATACTAGAAGTGAAGGTTGATCGTGCAGATGCGTACGAGGATGGTGTGGAACTCGGGATGTCAGCGGGGGTGGGAGTCGGTGCCGAGCGTGTCGAAGAAGGGGGAAGTGTTGGGGCATCCATAGAAGAACTAGGCAGGGTCACAACCTTGAATGACTGGGGCTGCCCCATTGTCGCAGGCGGCTGTTGAGGTAATGAAGAAGTGCCTGGTTGCGGTAAAGTGAAGGAACGACCAGGTGTGATTCCCCCTCCTCCAGGTGCTGTTGGCAGAGCCCGCTTGGTTGGACTTGAAAAACTTGTGGAATCATTTGTGGCCGGGGGAGGAGATGTATTTGGAACCGGAGAGGTAGCAAGGGTTGGGAGGGACTGACTTCCTGAAGGTCCCACAGCAGCGGGTCGTGCAGCTGAGGTTGGTGGGACGAGTGGTAAAGAGGGAGAGGCTGGTAGCGCCCTTTTACCTGAGCTGACTGGTGCCTGATTTGGACTCTTGGAAGGAAGTGGAGGAGGGATCTCATTGGGAGTCGTAGGCTGACTCTGCCCAGGTGGTCGTGTGGGTAAAGGGCGCTTTCCATCCGCACCTGGCTGACCAGGTGAAACAGGAGCTCCAGCTGTGCTGGTTTGTGGGATGTTCGGAATGACTATGGAAGGTGACGGTACGTTTGATCGACCTAGACCTTGCTGTTGAGCAGGGAGCACAGGTGCAGAGGTTCCTACTTGAGGAACGTTGAAGGCGCTAGGCATTGGATTTGCCCCAGCTGGATACACGTTCCAGTTTGTAGGCATTCCATGCATGCTCATAGGACGAGGGGTGAATCCATTGGGTTGCGGAATCGGATTAGGCTGGTTGAACGCGCCTCCATACGCGTTATACGCGGTAGGAACAGTGTCAACAGAGAAATTTCGTTGATGGTTTGTGGGTGGAATGAACCCTGAGCTGACAGGTGGTTGATTACCGAAGGTTGGTAAGGCTTGGGTAGATGGATAGACTTGGCTTGCAGGTCTTGACCGAGAGATCGGCGTTGGAAGAGGTCTCTTGCTAGTATCTCCTAGTGGTGGTTGTGCAATTGGGGGTTGTTGATGAGGTGTAGGAGGCAACTGCCCATAATTAGCCACAGCGTGTTGAGCTCTGGTGGAATGAGGAGTGGAACGCGAATCAGCATCCTGCACGCGATTTACATCTTCGTATAAGCTAGAAGAATCAAAACTTACGGGACAGTAGGAGATGCTGAGAAGTAGCCACCAGCCGCATGGCCAGGAGGGCCTGCAAACACTGGCGATGGTTGTTGCTGGTATTGTAGTTGTGTGTATTGAGGGTATACGTTTTGTTGCGGAGGAATAAACTGCTGATTAGGATAATTTCCTGGTTGGGGGTGGCCGTAATAGCCACTCATAGTGAACGAGAAAGAGACGAAGTTGAACTCAACCACTTGTCCGTTCTTGGTTCTGACCACATTAATATTCTTGGCCTATTCTCCTCATCAGCCTAGTCTTCACCCTCTCATTTCTCTATTTTTTGCACCATCTCTTTGGAGATAATAAATGAATAGAGTGTTCAATTTGGCTTTGCAGGCCGTGTAATGCTGACCGCGCCAACTCTTGCGCGCGTTTATAGAACACAGCTGCTTTGTATGACCTAGTCTGGTCTGCTCGCTCATTTCCACTCGTACTACTTCCACCGGCTGATGTGGCTGATGTTGTTGATGCTGCTGATACTGTCGAAGTTCCAAACGAGCGAGTCCCGAAAACGCTCTGCGGCCGACTTCCGGTTATACTCCCGTTTGCACTCGCAGCAGCTGCCATCCGTTTCCACAACGGTCTTTTGTCGTCTCTTCCACCAGAATCTGACAGCGTTGATTGTGCTGGGCCCGTGGGCGGTGGCGTGCCACTGATACTAG